ATATATATACACTCCCATTGTGTTTCCAAGGTGGTAAATCTTCTCAGAAGTAATTGCCCCATTTCTTTCTGGGAGCGGTTGGTGGGTTTGAACCACCAACCTTCTGCTTAGTAGTCAAATACCTTACACACTGTACCACCAGAGCATTTATCTTTTAAAGAAAAGTTAAAAATAAGAAAAAAGTGGTTTTACCACATATTTACTATTTCTGCTCTTCTTCATATCTTTGTATTGACCCAGATCTCTAGCTGGTATTATTTTCTTTCTTTCTCCTGAAAGACTTCCTTTTATATATTTTGTGGTGCTAGTAGGCTGGAGGTTCAAACTCACCAGGCAGTCCTCAGAAGGAAGGCTGGGCAATCTACTTCCTTAGTGATGTTGCCTTGGGAATCCAAGGAGGGGTCACTATGAGTTGGATCTGACTCGATGGCACATAACAACAACAACAGCCCATCTGCTGGTTATGGATTCTTTTAACTTTTACATGAATGATAAAAATGATTTTTGAGAATTGTTTTCACTGGTATACTTTTCTGGATCCATGACAGGTTTTTGTTTTTCTTCTTTTCTTTTAGTTGTTTAAAGATGCTTCTCTTCTACTTTTTTTTGTCCTTACATCAAGTTTCTTGACTTTATCATAGTTTTTGCCCAGTACACATAATGTTTTTTCTTCTCAGCTGCTTTTTAGATTTTCACTTTATCACTGATTTTAAGGAAACTGATTATGATGAATCTAAGTGCAGTTTTCTCCATTTCTGGTTGCTACTCTTCTTCCCCTTCCCATCTCACCCTCTACCATCACTTTGCATTTGCTGAGCTTCTGGGATCTATAGCTTTATAGTTTTTGTAAAATTTGAAAAACTTTTGGTCATTATTTATTTAAGTATTTTTCCGCCCCGCCCCATTCCAGGACTCTGATTACATAAATATTACTATAATATTCCCTAGGTTTTTAGTAATCTCTTTATTTTTTTGGTTTTGTCTTTTCTTTTTATGTTTTGTATTGGATAGTTTCTATTGCTGTGTCTTCAAGTTCACCAATGTGCTGTTAGCTCCATCTAACATCTGAAAGTGTATTTTTTATTCAGACACAATATATTTTTCATCTCCAGAAGTTTGATGTGGACATTTTCAGTATCTTCCAATCTTTATCATGGTCATGCTCTCACCAGCCTCCTGAATATATGGAATATATTTATGATAGGCATTGTAATGCCTTTGCCTGCTTATTCTATCATCTATGTCATTTCTGGGACAATTTCTATTGATTGACTTTTCTTTCTTCCTTATGATGGGTCAAATTTATTTCTTTGTAGGCTTGGTAATTTTTGATTAAATGCTAGACATAAATTTTATCTTGTTGGTTGGTGGATTTTTAAAAATCTTTGCTCTGAGATGCAGTTAAATTACTCAGAATCAGTTTGAGTCTTTCAAAGTTTGATTTTAAGCATTTTAGATGGGATTAGAACAGCCTTTATTCTATGTCTAGTTTGTGTCTACTGCCAAAGCAATATCATGCTGAATATTCTACATGATGCTTTGTGGATGGGGTGGTCTTTTCTCACCAGCAGATGGGAAGAACATAACTATTCCAGGTTCTATGTTCTCCCTGCTTCTTCTTCTTATTATTTTATTTATTTATATGAATTTTCTCCTCAGCTAAGTAGTTTTTTCACATGCACACATTTCTTCATCTGAAGAAGACTCAAGCAGAACTCTCTGCAGATTTTTGGAACACTTCTCTATGCAGCTTTGACTTGAGAATTCTAGACAACTTGTCATCCTCAAATTCTGAAATTTGTCTCTTCAATTCAAGGACAACTCTGGGGCCTGTTTGGATTCTTCCTCCTTCTTCTGGGTTCTAGTACTCTCTTCAGGAAGTAAAGTGAGATAATCATAGGGTTCACCTTTTCTAATTTCCCTTTTTTTCTGATGTCATTGTCTTATGCCGCTCAAGTCTGAAAGTAATTACTTCATATATCTTGTCTGTTTTCTCACTTGTTAAAGGCAAATCTAGTCTGTTACTGTATCATAGCTAGAAGCTGAACTCCCAGCATGATAAATTTTTTGATGGCTTGCATATTATTAACCACTGAGTTCACATAACACATTGTTCTATCTAGCTTTATACAAATCTATGCAAATGGAAATAAAGGGTGGTGACCACTCTGTTTCATGGTTTGTAACTATTTAGTCCATACTATGGGAGCTCTGGTAGCATGGTGCCTAAGGCATTGACTGCTAACCAGAAGGCTGGCAGTTCAAATGAAGGTTGGGCAATCTACTTCCGTAGTGATACCGCCTTAGAAACCCAAAGGGGGTCACTATGAGTCGGGTCCAACTCGATGGCATACAACAACAACAACAACATGGTCTAAGTTAAGGAGCCCTCGTGGTGAAGTGGTTAGAGGTCTCAGATACTAACCAAAAGGTCGGTGGTATGAACCCACCAGCTGCTCTGCAGGATAAAGATGTAGCAGTCTGCTTACATAAAGATTTATAGTCTTGGAAACTCTATGAGGTAGTTCTACTCTATCCTATAGGGTCACAATAAGTTGGAATTGACTCGAGGGCAATGGGCTTTTTTTGTGGGGGACGGTACTCGTTAATTTCATTCTATTCCTTGAATAAAAATACAAAACATCCAGTCTGTTTTTAGAAAGATTTATGCCACCTCACAAGAATATAACACAGTTTGTAAGTGGATTGCTGGGAATCCATTGTAATGGTTGAAGACAGTTCTAAATGCATGCCTTTCTGATGGCTGAGTTTTGTTGTCCAATATGTTAGCTAATATGTGGCTACTTAAATTAATTAAAATTTAGAAAGTTTAAATTCATTAACTCAGTTGCACTAGCCATGTACCAAGTGCTCAATAACTACATGTGACTAATGACTACCATATTTAAGAGCATATACAGAAAACTTCTATCATTATAGAAAGTTCTCTTGAAGAGTCTACAATGCCATCACTACATATCATGGACAGCATAGAATTTTGAGATTTGAATCTGAAGAATCGCTAAATAATTATTTAGGATTGTTCCCCTGTCTATCTCTGCTGTGTACACCAATCTAATCCCATTAGAGCCTTTAATATTGTCAAAGAAAGTGACAATTTTGCCAGATTACCACACTTCACATCTCCCTGTCCCTACTGCTGCTGTGTACTGTGCTCTAGATACCCTTCCATAACCTCTAGATCCTTCATCTACCAGTCTTCCTCTCTCCCTTAAATCTTAAATCTTTTCTATTCTAATGACTCTACTCTCAGCACTTACTTCACTGGCTTCTCTTACTCCACCCAACCCTAAAATGCTAATGCACTTCAGAATCCCACCATTTTACCTCCTTTCTTCTTTATAACCTCTATTCAGAAAAACTGCATTTGTTTCTATGTATTTCACTTCAAATACTTCCTGCCTTTTCATCACCCTCAAGTCATAGTGCTAGTCTAAATTTTTCTTCTGTTTCTCCATCTAATTATCCTAGAATCATATCAATCCCAACACATCCCAAATAATAGTCAAAAATTTACTCCTAGTTAATAGAATCATGTGCCTAAGATAGAAATTTGGGAGATCTTTGAATTCTCTCTTTTGCTCATCATTACCTCCAATTGGTTGCCAAGTTTTATAAGTTCCACTTCAAATATTTCACATACTTTTTTTTTTTCCTTTTCTCTATCACTACTGTCATTTCTTTAATTTAGGACCTTAAAATCTCTTGCTCAATCACTGCACCAGCTTCACTCTTTTCTAATTTAATCTTACACTGATGTAAGCTATATTTCATTTGGCTTGCTGAGTGACCTTTTTAAAATACAAATTAAATCATTTCACTTCCTCTACTAAAATGCATACTTAAAACACCCAGTCAGTCAGTGGTAGCATTCTTACCTACAGGATAATGTTCAAAGATTTTTATATAGCATCCAAAACCATTCATGACCTTAGCTTTCTACTTTGCTTTTAAGGAAAATCCTTTCGTCTTTCAGAAATGTGTGCATACCTCTACCCTAGCAATTATTTTATTCTGTAATTGTTAACTTACTTTCTATGTTTTTTCTAAAAAAAGGAACTCCTTGAAAACACAGAACTTGCTTTCTTTATCTATACAACCCGGGGACAAAACACAGTGTCCGGTTAGTAATAGGTTTTCATTTGATACTTATTGATGTTATTGAAAGAGTGAAGACTACAGTCTTTCACTTTCTTTCATGAGCAATTTCTGATCAAATTACCTAGCTTTTTAAACTAGGTATAACTTAAAACACACATATAAGATAGGAAAAAAAAAAAAAAAAAAAAAAGAAAGAAAGAAGGTTTGTGCTTGTTTCATGGAGTCATAGTCAAGAAAAAGAAGAGGATCTAAAAAGACATGTACACTTGCAATGTATTACACTCAAAGCTTTTTAATTATGACTTCCTATAAAACAGTTAGTAGATTGTTAGAACATATAGTCTCAGCAGGAGCTCTGGTGCCATAGTGCCTAAGGCATTTGACTGGTAACCAGAAGGCTGGTGGTTGAAACCAACCAGCCACTCCTTGGAAGAAAAGATGGGTAATCTACTACTGTAGAGATACCACCTCAGAAACCCAAGGAGGGGTCACTATGAGTTGGATCTGACTCGACGGCAGTGAGTTTGGTTTGTTTTTTTTAATAGTTTCAGCTACTTAATTTTGATTTAATGACCACACCAAAGTCTCCTTCAGTTTTGTTATCCATGAGAACAATATTAGTAGATAGAACAGTTGGTGATTCTTAAAATATCATTATTTTTATGGATAAAGTGACCAAAAAATAGGTTCTTATGGATGGTACAATTTTTACATAAAGAAATAGAACACTACAATAACTTTTGACACTAAAGAAGAGAAAAAGTCAGAAATATACAGGAAAATTGCTGCTTCAAAATTTGTTTGGAAATAGGTAGATCATGAATCATAAATAAGTAAGTAAATTGTTCCACTCCTTGTCAATAAGTATTTAAACTTACCTGATTATCATATGCATCAGGTGCAAGTTTCTTGTATGTTGGTGCCATAAGTGTAGACAGGTTTTGCAAATGAGACTCTAGTTTTTCTTCCTGTATAAAATGAGCAATTCTATATATTAAATTCTAAATCCATTTTCTCTCCCTCCCTCTCTCTCTCTCTCTCTCTATCTATCTATATAGATAGATATAGATATATATGAGAGAGAATATCAGTTAGATGTTTTCCCCTGTATCTTAGATCCAAACCACAATATATAGTGCCTCTCTTATTAAGTGAAGCATCTTAAAATCATGATTATTGCTAAGTGAAAAGTATACACTGTCACCTATTTTTGTGTGTACTATTATATATCCAGCTATTTGGTATTTTCATAAGATTAGCTGATTTCCTACTTTGCATGTAGATAATTGGCATTTTTATAAGCATGTATCTATGCTAGGGCTTGTGTTAGAAGACTGAAGCCATATGGTTTTAAAGAGGTTATATTCTCTAATATTTCTTCCAGTAAGCTGCCAAGGGAGATGAGCTATTGAAATGATTTGCCTGCCTTAATTAGTCTATTTCCAAATTCAATATTTAAAAAAAAAGTTTATTAAAATAGCATTTCAAGTAGATGATTTATCTTAAAACACCTAAGAAGTATTGGATGATTCAAATATGAGTAAAATCCTCAGAGCCAGAATGTGGTATATATTAAACATTAAGATAAAGAATAAATAGAAGATGTCATAGGAAGTTTATGCTGCTTAAACTTCATTACTTTGTCATAACATAGTAATTATTATGTATACTTTTTATAAAATTATAATGTAAGTCTACAGTTTTGCCAAGTTTTTGTTGATTAATCTATGAGATTCAATTGATGGGAAATTAACAGAGTATGTCATATTGTTATTTTATCTATTCTTACCTATTCTCTATGAAAAATAAAGATATTATACAACAGGAAATAAACTAACCTCTTTCGGGTCATCTCCAAGCAGTTTAAATTTCCTTGGGATCTTGCTTCTGGCAAACTTACAACCATTGTAGTACATGCTCCAGGAACAACCAAAAGAAAAAGAAGCACCGCAGGTCTCTGGGTCCAGCCCTTGACAGGCACAGGTTCTCCTGAGAAATTAAAGGGATCACCTTCATGGGTATGGATACAATTATCTAGGCTGCCAAACTCATATTCTCAGTGTCTACATGCAACAATTAGTGCAAAATGAGTTTGAAAAAGAAGTCTAATCAAACTCTGTATCAAGCACATGGAGTAAAGAACTATTTCAATTGACTTTAAAAGATAATTAAAAAAAAAAAACATGTTCTATTTCAGTATAATACACACACATAGGAAAGTAGACACAATTATACAGCTAATACATATTCACAAATGGAACACATCTATGTAAATAGCACCCAAACCAAGAAATAAGACATTTATTAGCATACTAGAAGCTCCTCTCATACTTCTTTCCAGGCCTTGTCCCCTCTGAGTAATTTTATCAGCACAGAGCTCATAGACAGATCTTCAATTTAATAAATAAAAACCTAAGTCAGCTATGTTACACATGTTCAAAAAGATGAATAAAATCATGTCTAAAAACTAAAGTAAGAGAACAATGTCTTATCAAATAGAGAATATCTATACAGAGATAAAAGTTACAATAAAGAAACTATAACGATTCTGTAGTTGAAAACTATAATAACTGAAATGAAGAAGTCACTAAAGATGTTCAGCACCAGATGTGAGCAGGAGGGAAGAAGGAAAGGAGGGAAATAATCAATTAAGATTATCTATTCCGGGGGGGAAAAAAAATGAAGAGTCTTAAAGACCTGTGAGACATGATTAAGCATTCCAATATATGCATAACGGGATCTCCAGAAGGAGAGGAGAGGAAAGCAAGAGGTAAAAAGAACATTTGAAGTGATAATGGCTAAAATTTCTCAAATTTGATGACAAACATGAATCTGCATATCCAGAAAGCTCAATAAACTACAATTAGCACTAACTCAAAGCAATCCACACCTAGAAAAATTATAATCAAACTTGTGAAAGACAAAGAGAGAATATTGACAGCAGCAAAAAGAGAAATGGCCCATTATATACAAAGGGTCCTCAATAAGATGAATAGTAGATGTCTCACAAGAAACCATGGAGGGCAAAGGAAGTAGGGTGACACATTCAAAATTATAAGAAAAGGACTATGAACCAAGAATTATGTATTCAGCAAAAACTATTCTTCAAAAATAAATGATACATTACGACATTTCTAAGTTTATATTATTTTTTTAAAAGGTTGCTTTCAAACCTACCTTAAGAAATACTAAAGTCCTTCAGGAAATACTAAAGAGTAACTCAAATCCACATGAAGAAATGATGAGCATTAGTAAAGGAAACTATATATTAAAAGAGAGTATATATGTATTTTGTTTGTCTGTAACTCTTTTGTCTTGTATCTGATTGAAAAGACAATTTATAAAGCAACAATTACGAATTTGTGCTGACTGCTGACAGGCATATCTTCTCACTGTGACTGGGTCAATTTCAACTCATTGGGACTCCTACTGTTTTTCCTAGGCTATGAGTCTTTATGGAAGCAGGTTGCCTTATCTTCCTTCTGTGGAGCAACTGGTAGGTTTGAACCACTGAGCTTCTAGTTATTAGCCACTGTGCTACCAGTGTATAAAGATGTAATTTGTATAATGATAACAGCACAATACAGAGGGAGTAAATGGAATTATATAGGAGAAAAAAATTTGTATAGTACTGAAACTGAGACTAATGTGAACTAGGTCATTTGAAAAGAGAATGTTATTTATAATTTCTAAGGAAGCCACTAAGAAAATAACTCAAAAAATATAGTAAAAAAATGAGAAATGGGAAAAATAGTATATTAGAAAATATCTATTTAACATAGATTAAGGAAGTAGTGGATAAACAGAAATAAACAAAAAAAGCACAAAATATATTAGAAAACAAGGAGAAAAATGGTAGCATAAATCCTACCTTATCAGAAACTACATTAATGTAAATAGAAAAAAATACTTAAATTAAGTAGCAGAGAATTGAAGAATGTACCAGAAAATAATAGTAATAATAATAATCTAATTGTCAAACCAAAACCAGACTAACTGCCATCGAGTCAATTCCGACTCATAGGTCCATTGGATTTTCAAGGCTGTAAATCTTTATAGAAGCAGACTGCCTCATCTTTCTTCCATGGAGTGGGTAGTGGGTTTGAACCACCAACCTTTTGCTTAGCAGCCAACTGTCTTAACCACTCTACCACCAGAACTCCTTAATCCAACTATAGGTTGTCTATAAAAAGAAGTACTTTAGATTCAAAGATGCAAATAGGCTAAAGGTAAAAGGATGGAAAAAGATATTTCATACAAAGAGTAATCATAAAAGAAGGAGTGGCTAAAGTAATAACAGACAAAAGAGATTTTAACAAAAAGTTGTTATTGGAAATAAAGAAGGACATTATATTATGATAATAGCAATCCATCAAGAAGACATAACAATTATAAACACATATGGACCTAACAACAGAACTTCAAAATATATGAGGCAAAAACTGACAGAACTGAAGGGAGAAAGAGACAATTCAACAATTACTATATCATACTTCCAATAATGAATATAGGAGCTCTGGTAGCATAGTGGCTAAAGCACTTGACTGCTAACCAGAAGGCTGGTGGTTCAAACCCACCAGCCACTCCTCGGAAGGAAGGTTGGGCAATCCTACTTCCGTAGTGATACTGCCTCGGAAACCCAAGGAGGGGTCGCTATGAGTCAGGGCCGACTCGACGGCACATAACAACAACAACAATAATGAATAGAACTCTATTCTATAATGAAAGAATCACTAAGAAAACAAAAGATGTGAAAAACACTATAAACCAACTAGTCCTAACAAATCATTCCACCCAACAAGAGGAAAATACACATTCTTCTTATGTGCAGAGAACATTCTCCAGGATAGACCATAATGTTTGGTTGTGTCAATACATTTAAAAGAAATAAAATAATACAAAGTATGTCCTGAAATGACAAAGAGTGAACTTAGAAATGAGTAATAGAAGCAAATTTGGTAAATTCATAACATATGTGGGAATTAAACAACACACTCATAAATAACCATGGGTTGAAGGAACATACACACAGGAAATTAGAAATTATTTTAAGTGAAAGAAAATGAAAACACATAACATACCAAAACCTACAGAATCCAAAAAAAAAAAAGAGTGTTGAGAAGGAAATTGATAGCCGTAAATGTTTATTTTAAAAAGGGAGGAAAGATTTCTAGTCAATAAATTATCCTTCCAATTTAGGAAAGCATAGAAAGAAAAGCAAACTAAAGTAAGCAGAAGAAAGAAAATAATAGAGTGTAAATGAGTAGAATAGATAAAGAAAAGCAATAGCAAAAATAAACAAAGCCAAAAGTTGGTTCTTGAAAACATGAACAAAATTAACAAAACTCTAACTAGACTTATTTATGGATGGAACTGTGTCTCCAAAAAAATGTACACTGAAGTCCTGGACCCTGTATCTGTGACTATGACTCTGTTCGCAAAAAGAGATTTTCTTTGTTTTGCTAATGAGGTCATACCAAGTGTAGGGTAAGCCCTAAGTCTAATCTCTTATGAGTTATATAAAGAACAGAATAATCACAGAGAGACACACAGGGGAGAAATAGATGCCACTTGAGTATCATTTACAAGAAAAGGAATACCAAAGATTGCTGGCAATCACCACAAAGTAGGAGAAGGAATTGAAATAGCCAAGAAACTGATTTGGAGTTTTAGCCTCCACAACTATGAGAAGATAAGTGTCTGTTCCTTAAAGCTATCCAACTTGAGGTATTTTCAGCATTAGGTAGCTAAGACACTGACCAAGAAAAAGAAAGAATACTCAAATTTTTAAAATCAGAAATGAAAAAAAAGACATGAGTATGCAGAAATAATAATAAAAAAGATTATAAGGGAATACTAAGAACAACTAGCTGTCAAAAAATTAGGTAAGCTAGATGAAATGGACCAATTCCTAGAAATATACAAATCATCTAACCTGACTCAAGAAGAAACAGAACATCTGAATACACCCACTCCTCACTCATCAACGTGGTTTCCAAGGACCAGGTTGTTATGTGAAAGTTGACATTATGCAAAAATAGATGATGACAACATCAGCACATAACTGAAATTACATCATTATATTACTGTCAAATCACTGAGAGGGAGTTCTGGTGGCCTAGTGGCTAAGGCATTTGACTGCTAACCAGAAGGATGGCAGTTTAAACCCACCAATCACTCCTCAGATCATGGCCCAGCCACATAGATACATAACCTTTACCATCACCGCCAGTGTTACTCACATCTCTCAGCTTGGCACTAGTTACTACCAGATATATGTCATTAGTATGCAAAATAGTTGGAGGGGAGATATTTTACTATTACCATAAATGTAAAATATTGGATAATGAGGTAGTAGATAAGTGAGACGAAAGGAAGGTTGGGCAATCTACTTCCATAGTGATACCACCTCAGAAACCCAAGGAGGGGTCGCTATGAGTTGGTTCTGACTCTACGGCACATAACAACAACAACAACAACAAAAAAAAAAAAACAGATAAGTGAGAAGTACATGTATATAATCATGAAAACAAAAATGATTGAATTAGTAAACAAAAAAACTTGCCATAGAGAAAAGTCCACACACAGCTGGCTTAACTGATGAATTCTACCAAACATTTAAAGAATAATGAATACTGAACTTTCATAAATTTTCATTATGAGGCCAGTATTACTCTGATACCAAAACCAGACAAATACATACAAGAAACTATAGATCAATATCCCGTATGAATATATATGCAGAGATCCTTAATAAAATACCAGAAAAAATGAATCTAGCACTATATAAGAACGATTATATTCCATGACCATGTGGGATTTATCCTAGGAATGCAATTTTGGTTTAACATATGAAATCAATCAAGGTAATATACCATATTAATAGAATAATAATAATGAAGATAAAAAGTAACACATATCAGCTAAAGAAAGCAGTTGACAAAAAGCCAGCATTTTTTCATAAAAAAACAATAATATAAAAACAATTT